GCTCTGCCGGAGGCGACTCGGGGCCTGGGGGTGCAGCGCCCTTGCGGGCCTCGGCCTCCAGCGTGGTGCTGATGAGGTCGGGGCTGGACGACGACATCTTGCGCAGCAGCAGGTCATGCTGCAGCCCCCGCAGCGCCGCGCAGGGCTCCAGGTGCCCCCGGCTCGGTGCTCCAGGCTTGGGGCAGGCTGGCGTGCTCGGTGGGGGCCCGACCAGCTCCCCGCAGCTGCCCTTGGCATTGGCCTTCCGGTAGCGGGGCTTGGCACGCCGGCTGCGGCCTGGCGACGTAGGGCCCTTGGCGCAGCTGGGCAGCGAGACCTGGGCCATGGCTGCATCCAGCTTGGGCAGCAGCACCTCCGTCTTCAGGATGTCCGGCCTGGGCGGCAACGAGGGGTGGGGTGGGAGTGAGATCTCTGTGCCCTAGAGGGACACATGCCCCCCCAGCTCCCCAGGGGGGAAAAAAAAATCACACAGCCCACGAGACAGCACCCAAGTGTCCTGGCTCCTAAACTGCCCACTGCCCCCCAGCACTAGGGAGAGAGCCCAGGCATCCTGTCCCCACACCCCACCCTCACCTCTTGCTGTGGGGCGACAGCTTCTGGGGCACGTTGCGCTTCTTGATGAGCTTCTCCACGGTGTTGCCATGCAGCAGCCCGCGCGGTGTGTGAGGCTTGAACAGCCCTGGGTATTTCTTCTCCAGCGCCTGCTCCCGCCTGCCGGACATGGAGCAACACGTCAAAGCTGGGGGGGGAGGGAGGGGAAGGCATTGGGGGCCTGGATGCACCCCCCAAAGTAGGAGCAACTTGGCGGGGCTCGGAGCTTCTTGTGCAGAGGGGCCACTTGCTAAACCCACCCCCTTCAATTCCTGCCCTTCCCCAGCTTTAAAACCAACCGCCTGGCAGGGGCAGTGGCAGCGGCATTTCTATCCAGGCAGCGGTGAGGGATTCCTGCTAATCTCTCCGCACTCCAAGGCACACCCCCTCTCTTTTTTGATGGCCTTGACACCCCCTCCCAGCCCGCTTCAAACCCTCCTTTCTCCTGCAGCAGCACTGCTGTCTGTTCGCCAAGCTGGGTAACACCTCTCTTCCCTTTCACAGCCGTGAAGACTATTTTTAGCTAAAAAAACCTGAACTCAGGTGTGATCACATTAACTCAGGTGCAGAAATGGCTGACAGGGAAGGACTGGAGGCAGATCTCCAGCCACTCAAGGAGGCTCAGTTTGAACGAGAGACGTGCAATGAACTAGAACGACTACGGGGCTAATGAAACAACAGCGTTGGACCCATTTTTGCCGAGTTTCTTGCGTTTTGTTCTGTTTTGTTAAGCTGTGATCCAGAAACGAGGGAACATTTCAGTAAGGTTATAATCGGTTTTGCTTTGATCTTAAATGGGATGATGCAGATTAGTAAAGCTTGTCGTTGCTTTCGAACCGGAGAGAAATGCGTGTCGGGCAGGGGTGGGATTGCACCCCGCTTTCAAATTGGATCACAAGGTCCCCCACGCAGGTGAGACCCCCCCTTCTTCTGGGGTGGAGGGGGGCAGCTGGAAGCAGGGTGCACCCCTCTTTGCCAAATCCTGGGTTCAGCCCCGGTGCCTGCTTAAACAAGATGATTCACTGCCCCATCTGCCTCCGATGCCCAGACCGGACATATCCCTTTGATCCTTGCACGGATTATCTTAGGCCACCTGTCAGCGCTGTGACAATCCGGGGACCCAGCTCCGTCAGAGGCTGGGCCAGCTCTCCAGTGAAAAGCCGTTTCAGTGCCCAACACCGACCCCCAGAAAAGACAGAAGACAGCTCAGGCTAGAACCACGTCACGTTTCTCCCATTTTATCCCGGGACAACGCACAGCCAGGCATCTGCGGCCATCATCCTGGGATAAACCTAGTAAGGTTTGTGGGATAAGACATCTTGGGATGTCGCCGAGTGCGTCTGAACGATTCTCCTGGGCTCCACGGCAGCAAAGCAGTTGCTCATTAAACCCAGTCGGTGTGGACATGCCAATCCTGGGATATTTCCATTCTGGGATAAACACGTCTGTTCCTAGGCACGCCCTGGCCCGGGCCAAAAGGACCCCTGAGATATTGGGGAATGGCTTGGTTGGAATGGGAACCATCCGTAACTGGTGCCCGTGCCGGAGATGGGCCACGAGCTGGGGAAAAGCTTCTGGAGGGAGAGATGTTTCTGGGGGAGACTTCAGGACAAGGGTGGCTGGGGGCAGAGGGGATTTAGGAACTAGCTGCGAGTTAGTCATGGTTCTGGGGTGATCGAAGGCCCTGGGGTGAGTCCAAGCAGCCAGTGGCCAGTCTGATCCTTAGAAATCCTAGAACAAGAGGGTTGAAACGACCTCGGGAGGTCCCACCATCCCCACCTATATCATTGCAGACAAGACTCTGTCTAGTCTGGACTTCAAAACCTCCAAGGATGCAGATCCTACCACCTCCCTGGGTAACCTGTCACAGTGCTTCACCATCCTCTTCGGGAGAAAGGTTTCCCTAGCATCCAACCTCAACTTCCCTTGCTGCAGCTTGAGCCCATTGCTCCTTGCTCTGTCACCTGCCTCCACTGAGAAATCCCGGAGGATGAGCTCGTGGCCGGAAGAGAAGTGGGAGAAACTTTCCTGGTCTTATTTGTTCCAACTTCAACTTGGATCCCAGGGAAGTCGGACTGGAAGGGACCTCTAGCCCAGCCCCACCTCGAGGCAGGACCGGCCCTGACCAAACCATGCAGGGAGGGAGATTCCCCCCACCCCCAGGTGCCTGCTCGTGTCCGAGCACCCCAGTCAGAAAGTTCCTCCTTCTCTCCAGCCTCAGTTTCCCCAGCTGCAGCTTGTGGTTGCATCTCATCTCATGCCCGGGGACCACCTCTCCAGCCCATCCTGGACCCCAGTCCTGCTCTCTGGAGTATCAGCAGCTCCACCGAGCTTGGTGTTGGGTGCAAATCCACTATGCACGCCTGTCATCCTAGAGTCCAAATCATCGGTGGGGATATTAAACCACCCTGGACACGGTGCCAGCCTTTTGGGTACAATCCTGCCCCTCTGTTGTGACCTGGCCGGTAGCCTGAGGCAGGGTATGATCTGGGGGCAAGTGATAACCCAGGCAAGTCCCTCCTATGGAGCAGCTAGCCCTCACCCCTGCCCCTGGCAGGAGATCGTGGCAGCCTTCAGGGCTGGGCAGGGCAGCCTGGGGGAAATGTGTATGCCCCCGGTGGAGGCAGCAAAGGGGCATGAGGCTGGATCTTGGGCCCTGCGGGGCTCTCACCGGAGCAGCTCCTTCTCCTTGAGCTCGAGCTGCAGCATGAGGGCGTTGAGCTCCATGTACAGGTTGTTGGCTCGCTCCAGCTTGCGCTCATAGTGCTCCCTGATGTCCAGCGCGTGCCTGCCAGGTGTGGGGGGGAGGGTGTCAGGTGTGGACCCAATCCTCTGCCCCCCCAGCACCCCCTGCCTGCTGCCCCCGCACGCACCGGAGCTCCTCGCGGCGCCGGTTGATGAGCTCCTCCTCCAGCCGGTGCAGACACGTCCCCTCCGACTTGATCTTCTCGAAGTGCAGCTTCACCTCCTCCCGCCACTCCGCCTTGGGGTGGTGGGGGGGACACTGTCATCCCCCACGGACCCCAGCCCACCCAGGCACCCCCGCAGGGTGCCAAAGAGCTCCCCCAACGTGCCACCGGCTCACAGGCTCTGTAGCGAGGTGGGAGGGGGCCAGGACCCACCTGGGACTTAAAGTAGGTCTCCTGGGGGGTGGAGAGGACGTCGGCGGAGGCGATGTCCAGGTGCAGCAGGATCTGCCGGAAGGACGGCCGGTTCCGGGGCTTGCTGTTCCTGGCGGGACACAGGGTGGGGGAAGCGTGGGTGCCAGCCCCAGGGCAAGTCACCCCCCCCAGGAGGTGCCCCAAGGCGCTTGCTGCAGGCTGCCACCCAGACATGCAGGGCAAGGCCCTGCAGATAGGGTAGGGAGGGCATGGGGGGCTCTCCGCAGCCCTGGGGGCTCACCAGCACTGGCGCAGAAGGATCTTGAAGCCGTCGGGGCAGCCAGTGGGCACAGGCAGGTGGAGGCTGTTGCTGCCCACGCCCCAGATGATGGCCGAGGAGTCCACGTCCTTGTAGGGGATCTCGCCCGTCAGCAGCTCCCACAGCACCACCCCGAAGGACCTGGGGGGAGGAGGCAGTCCAGGGTCAGACCACTCCCAGCCGGACCCCCCGCTCGAGCTCCCCATCTCGAGTCCTCTCCCCAGCCAAACCCCGCAAGCGGACCCCTCTCTGCCTAGCTTGAGCCCCCCAGCCAGACCCCCCCACCCCTCCAGCACTCACCAGATGTCGACCTTCTCGGAGACGGGCTCGTTGCGGATGACCTCGGGCGCCATCCAGGCCACGGTGCCGGCGAAGGACATCTTGGTGCTCTTGTCGCTCAGCTCCTTGGAGGTGCCGAAGTCCGAGATCTTCACCACATCGTCGTAGGTGATCAGCATGCTGGAGGGGGCCGGGGTCAGCTGGCATAGTGGGGCAACACCCCCCGCTCAGCCTGCCCCCAGACCTGCTATTCCACGCCCGCCCCTGCCTGTGCCGCCCCCCAGCAGCGCTCACTTTGGGGACTTCAGGTCGCGGTGGATGATCTTGTGCAGGTGCAGGTAGTTCATGCCACCGGCGATGCCCATGGACCAGTCAACCAGCAGCGAGGGCGTGACCTTGCGCCCGGCCCGCAGCACCTCGTACAGCTGCCCCTGGGCGCAGAACTCCATGATGATGCAGTAGCAGGGCGCCTGCGTGCACACACCCCTGCGCCCGGACCGGGGGCATGGGTCAGAGGTCAGCAGCCAGGTCCTGCCCCCAGGACCGCCCCACCCCTGGGTGCAAACCCATGGGGGTGCCAAGCGCGGTGCTCTGCCAGGCGGGCACACGCATGCGCATGCACATGTCCTCCCCATGCTATCCCTTGATCTGGCTCCGCTCATGCCAGATAACTCCATCCCAATGGCTCCGTCCGCTCCCCATGGCTCCGCCCCCCACACTCACTTGAAGGTGATGATGTTGGGGTGCTTGAGCTTGCGCAGGTGCTTGATGTCGGTCTCCTTGAGGTCTCGCACCTTCTTGACGGCCACCTCCTCGCCGTGGAAGCGGCCCAGGAAAACGGCGCCCTGTGCCCCGGAGCCCACCCACTGCAGGTCCAGGATCTCCTCGAAAGGCACCTCCCACGGGTCTGCGGGGGCGGCAGTGGGCACTGAGCTCCCATGCCCGCTCCTACCCCCTATCCTCCCCCTCCTGCCCTCCTTGCTCACCCTCCTGGGGCTGCTTGTGCTCGGTGGCGTAGGCCTTGCCGATCATGGTCCAGACGGGCTTGAGGCAGCCGAAGAGTCCCTCGAGGAACCCGCCGCCAGCCTGGCAGTGCAGCCGCATCTGGTCGGCCTGGGCCCGGCCCTGGCGCCCATCGGGGCTGCAGACCCCGGCACCGCCGTCAGCCTCGTGCAGGGCCAGGACGCTGTTGGCGAAGGGCTGGCGGGCATCGTCACTGGGTGTAGGGCTGTGCCCGCTGCCCTGCATGGGCACCACGTCGCGCAGTACGCACTGCGTGGGCGTCAGTTCCTGCTCCTCCGGCGTGCCGGCTGCTGCCGCGCCCAGCCCCGCGCCCAGCAAGGGCGACGGCGTCCTCGTCTCGTGCAGGCAGGCCATGGCGGGTGCAGGGCATCGGGGCCCCCCTTGGGGGGCGCAGCAGGAGGTGAGGGGCCTGGGGCGGGAGAAGGAGGGAGGGGTGAGTTGGAGGGAGCAGGGGGTTGGGAGGGGGCATCCTGCCGAGTTGTACCTGCACATGCATGCGCATGTGTACACCGTGACGCACTCATCAAGACACGCACACAGCAACACACTTGCATGGTGACATACATACAAGCACACACAGAGTGATACATTCATACACAGGCATGCAGTGACATGTGGACACATACAGACCAACACATGTATACTGTGACACACTTGCATCATGACATGCACATGCAAATGCATGCACACACAATGACACATGCATACATACACACGCAGGGACATGCACGCGCACACAAATGCCCAGGTACGCAGGAACACACTTGCGCACATGGTGACACACATGTGAGCATACACATGTAGTGACAAACTCACATGCACAATGATGCACGCATGCGAGCCCATGCACACGCATACAGCCGTACGTGGGGCCTGCCTGGGCTGCGGGTCTGGCAGAGGGGTAGTGCCAGGCTGAGAGTGGGCAGGTCATGCTGGGAGTGTGAGTGTACGTGTGCACGTGTCAGCGAGCGTATGCACTTGTGTGCATGCATGTGTCACACTGTGTGAGAGTGTCACCGCATGCATGTGTTTGTATGCGTGTGTGCATGTGTCACTATGTGGGTAAATGTGTCACTGTACATGTGCATGTGTGAGTTACCATGCATGCAAGTGCGTTTGTATGTGTATGCACACGTCATGGTATTTGGGTGAATGTGTCACTGTGTATGTGTGTGCGCATGCGTCACTGTGTGCATGTCACTGCTCATATGTGTTTGTGTGTGTGTGCATATGTTACTATGTGGCTGAATGTGTCACTGTGTGTGCATGCATGCAGTGTGTGCATGTCACTGCGCATGTGGGTGTATTTGTATGTGTGTGTGCGTGCAGGTGGCAGGGTATTTGGGTGAATGTGTCACTGTATGCATGTGCGAGTGCATTCAGTGAGTGTGCATACACATGTGTCACTGTGCATATGGGTGAATCTGTCACTGTGCTTGTGGGCGTGTGCATGTATATGTCATGCTGTGTGCAAGTGTCACTATGCACGTGTGTGTGTGTGTGCATATGTCACTGTGGATGAGTGTGTCAGTGTACATGTGTGCATGTCACTGTGAATGAGACTGTCACTGTGAGTGTGCATACATGCATGTGTGTCACCGTGTGCATGTGGGTGAATGTGCTGGTGTGTGTGCATGGGCACGTGCTTGCATGTGTGTCACTGTGTGCTTGTGTATTTGTGTGTGTGTTACTGTGCGTGTGCTTGCATTTGTCATTGAGCGTGTCGCTGCGTGCGTGCGTCGCCATGTGCGTGTGCTCATGATTAGCAGGACGAGGGGAGCCCCCCACAGCTACCAGGGATGGCTCTGCCCACCCTAGACGTGGCTGCAGTGCCCATCCAGACAAACCCAGGGGCCTGGGGGCTTTGGGGCCTGTGGGTTGGGGGGCCAGACCACCAGCCCCCACCACCCCCCGGGTCTGCTGAGCAGGACTCCTGGGTCCCAGCCAAGCAGAAGGTGCTCCAGGACTTCCAGGCCTGCATGTCCGGACTCCTGGGTTCTCTCCTGTGCCTCAGTTTACCTGTCTGTCGAGGAAGGTGGGCAGAGCTGCCCTGGGATTGGGGTGGGGGGGGCTGGAGCTGCCCTCATTATCATTAGCTGGGGGGTGCCGGCTGCCCTGTCCAGTTTGGCCAAGATGGGGACATTCGGG